ATATAAATACGTACATAGTTATATATAAATATATACATATATGTGGTTACGAACGAATAATGAAACCGTATATTGACACTAAACGCCCTGTCGATAATAAATAATCACAAGAAGAACAGCTACGAAAGAAAATAAAAAGAAAAAAAAGAGAAATAAACTTCGTCACTAGATGTCTCGGCTCTTCGACGAGCCGGAGCTCCGTAGAGTTTCATACTTTTGCAAATAATCGAAATCTCGTCGATACACTACTACACCGATCTCTCTCTGTATATAAATATACGTATAAATATATTCGAAAGGTTCGCAAGGGAGAACGAAGTTGATCATGATCCGAGGTCTGAGAATCTTCGTTTCTTTTTTTTCGGTGACGTGCGTGCAGTCACGGCTCGAACGATCGGACGGATGACGCGATGGGACGTGCGTGGATGTCAATTCTTTCAAGGTTTACGAATCGTTTGCCGAGCACCGCTATCGCGCTGGAACCAAAAATCGTTCCCCGACGTTCACCGGCGATTCGAAGCCTCCCCGTGTTTTCGTGTCGCCGTGGAACGTTATCCTGTACAGAAAGAGCGTGAATGTATTTTCGAGCGATCGAAAGCTTTGCGTATTGATCGTGCAAGCCCCGCGGTAAGCGAGTCCTTTCGGTCCCGAGGAATCGAGACCGCGTCGAACAACGGTGAACGAGTAGGAGGACAAAATCGTGACGCGACGAATCATTAACTAGTAACAAGAGTTGCCTTAAATATTACACGTTCACAAAACTAGGATACGCGAACGAACGACGAAGCGAGAAAGAAACGAAAAATATTAACGGTGGGAACTCGAAGAACTCGTGTCTTCTGATCGAACATCAGGACGAACGGGCGAAAACGCACGATTGGTCCACGAGTGTCACGAGCCGCGCGATTTCATTTTGTTTTACGAATCCGTTTCGGGGCTACTTCCCCGGGTTCGAGTACATGTACACTTCTTGGATCGATTCCTCTGCACGATTTGGAAACGTGATCGAAACCGGTTATATACCGTGTCGCTCGTGAACGGACATATCTTACGGTGTTCTTCGCGAATGATCGAACATACGTGTTCTATCTCTGTTCTGCTCTTGACGCTTGTTTACCTATCACACGCAAGACGAATCTCGCATCCGTCGTCACAGACATTCGAATACTTGTTCGGCACGACGAATTCCGATTTACGCGAGTAACCAGAATTCGCGAAGAACGGCGTAACGGCTCGGCGTTGAACGCGCGTAAGAAATCAAAAAGAGAGAAAGAGTGAGAGCGCGAGAAGGGAAACATAGGCAAACCGAGAAAAGATTGACACGGGAAACAACGTGAACCGGGTCTGATTGTGGAATTTCGACGCGTAAAGCCACGTTTCTACTCGACGAAAAAAGGAACGTGACTTAACAGGCTTTCGGATGTGTTTGTGGTAGCGTTCTTGAAATGACCGACGATTACACGATCATGATTAGCAGGATGCGCGTGCTATCGAATCGGCCCGCATAATCACAGTTACCCGGCAAAGCAATCTTTCGTACAATACAATTAGGAATAATGCGGCGAAGCAACGAATTTCACAGCATCACGGTGCTGAAACATTTATCTGCGTTTTAGGGAAATTAAAGAATAGCAGACGATGTGTGTTCGTTACGCCGACCGCATTTAATTGCCGGTTAAGTGGACTTAAACGGTTAACCAGGTTACACGCGTATTCGGATGACCGTAATCGTGATAACCGTAATGTTCGAGTATTAAGGGTTTAAACGACCGAATACTACGTTACACGGCTTTCAAGAGCTCTAGTCCACGAAACCGTGGGTGCAAGGGACAAGAATGAAACGAATGAGGAGAATCTGACTACGAATGAATCTGAAGAGAAAGAGAACATAAATGAGTGGCGTGTGTGTGTGTGTGTGTGTGTGTGTGGAAATGAACGGGAGTACGCGAGCAAAAGAAAACTAGGACAGGGAAGAATGCGAGAGAGGAAATTTCGTAGACCCGTTTAATAGTCGCGCGTACCATTGTTATATACGTTGTGTAAAGGGGGAGAGAAAACAAGTGGAGAACCCATTGAAAGCTTTAACTTTGACTAACTTTAAAAGGGTATATAGCGATGTAACGCAAGTGAGTGCTGCTGCTGCCAGTTGCGTGAATGGCGAACGATTGGCGGTCGATTCTGCGCGACACTGTTATTGATACTCGACAAAATGATATATACATGTATACAAAAACGTATAAATAATATAGTTCAATCTACCTCGATGTACTTAATTCGTGGTAACTGGCATCGAAATTCGGTTCTTTCTTTAATGTCGTTATTACACACACGTCCGGTAACTGGTTTGCGCAATATCCCGCCAATCTTCGCGTTACTGTACACTTACTGTATATTACTTATACATATATACATACATATATACATATGTGTATGCATACGTGAAAATGCAGAAAGGAGACTTGTTTTTCTCGGAGAAAGCGGATCGAGTGCAGATTGTACCTTTATACGTATTTCACTGTCCGCGCCACGCCGAGGACGCGAACATCTGTCGGTTCAAACGATCGAACGAAGACAAGAAAAATCGTACGTGACCACGGTTCACGAAGCGATCCGTCGCATACACAAGGCGTACACGTTCATGGAATACTTGTGTGTAAAATATTTCCGCGAAAAATAAAGAAAAAAAAAAAAAAAACAGTTCCCGATATCGAAACCGGCGATCAGGATTTGCTGTAATCGACGAAACCGAATTCAAACTTCGCGGTCTTGCCGTGACGTGGACCTTCCGATTGTATTATTTCTCTTCTTTAATGGAAAATAAGTATTCTCTACGTGTGGTCGCATCTGCCAGTGCTCCAACTCTCATGCGCTGAGACGTGAAAAAATGGAATACACATAACGAACGGATAAACTCGATTATTCTTTGAATCTACGAAAAAATACCGGTTCAGTGTCGAGCGTGAATGTACGAGCGAAAACGAGACGCGCGAGCGAGAGAGAACGAGAAAACGACGTAAACATGCATTATTACTTATGTACTATGCAGTAAATGAGAGGAAAGATACCTACCTTATATATACATATAAAAATATTATATATACATATATGTACATATAACATGTATGTATATATACATATATACATAGCTAGTTCAATTTGCAAATTAGTGTGTATCGTCGCTTCGAAATGCCCAGTCATTACTCGCCAGGATCCAAAAACCCAACAACCGATTTCAAGTTCATTCTTTTTTTAAGGAAAAAACCAATAAAATAATGTGTTAAAATATTTCAAAACATTCGTGTTTTTCACTTGAACTTTAAATGTTCGCGATCCGCGGGTGTTCCTCTTCAAATTTGCGCAAAAATGCCAGAGATGGCGCACCAGGTCCAGTCACAGACGAGGTAAAAGGTCAGAGCCGACATCTTACGGGACCGAGTGCCACTAGGAATCTGTAATACCGATTCCGTAAAAAAATCTGTGATTTCAGCGACCTCTATGTTTCGAAAATGGTAAATTCGGAAATCACAGTCAACCCAAGTCGGGCTCCACGGACAATGGTAATAAAAAGAAACTATACGGAAAGGGATCCTTCGAATCATCGGCAAGAAAACACTTGTATCAATGGAACTGATATTATTTCTGAGCGTTTTATTAAGTTTACCATGATTTTAATCGATACAATGATTTCTGTGGTATACTGTCGCGCGCATCGAGACGTGACTTCAACTTCCTTTCCAATTTTCGAAGAATATATATATGTATAACATTTATCTTTCTCCAAAGGGAAATAGTTTCAGAACTTTGTAAATAAAATCTCTTCCTGTGAAAGTCTTAACAATCTTGAGCTTCGAATCATCGAGACGCGGTAAACGAGCTCCACAATCTTTTAATAACGCGTCGCTCGAAAGATCGGATCCTTTCTAAAAAACCGGCGCTCTCGTTAAATACACAGAAAAGCAAGTTGAAACCTCGTTCAATGGTGAAAAACATAAATGCAGTAATAACCAGCGTCGGCGTGCGCCTCGAGTGAATTTTCATGGCTAATTTTTTTTCCTTTGCGTCGGTTATCTTATAAATGAAACTTGGACAATCGGAGAAAAAGGATCGAGCGGAGGGGGAGCGAGGAATATGAATATATAATATCTTATATCGTGTATCCATAAATGTTAAACGTTATTTCTTATTCTTTCTTTTCTTTTTTCTTTTTTTCATCGTCTTATCGACCTCGTATTCTTTTGACTCGTTTTCATTTCTTTTATTAAATGTTAAGGTAGAGCTTAATAAGGGGCACCTGAAGGCGCGCTCATAGCGAACTTCAGGAGCTCTTTTCTCGTATACTAGCTGTGCCGAACGCACTTGTACTGGTCGCATGGTTGGCGAAAATATCAGCTGAAGATTGACTTTTGAGATCGAAACGAAAAATTCTGAATTCATCTAGCCGTTCTAGGGACATTGTCGAGTAACAATTAAAATCGGATATCATGTTTGCGGACAGAAGAAACACGCAATCGTCGAAACTGTGAATCAAATAAAGTAAAATACGCGTTCGAAATTTAGAATCCTCAATAGACGATTTTCAGCCCATCGTTTTCACCCGCGACATATTATTTAACAACAGAATTTAATCACCTAATCTTCCGGAGGATACTCGTAATTCTCACCTTCGCCGCGTTTTCGTTTATACAATAAATGGATATCTTTTCATTTCGCCTACGTGCTAAGTAATAAATCGTCGAGCCGCAATTCATTGCAACAAATCGTCGACAATCAATAATAAATCGATAGAAATCGCCTAGCATTCGATCGACCGTCGTCTACCTTAAAAAGTAAACGCGTCCAACGGATGAACGCAATAATAAATTTCAATACATTCGTAATATTAATAATCGCTGTCGATGTGATAATAATACAATTGCAATGCGAGCATCACAATGCGAGAAAGGCAAATATCAATAATAATAATAATAATAATAATAGTCATAACGGCAATAATAATTAATAGCAATAGCAATAATAATGATAATAATAATAGACAATAATAATAAAATAAATTTTTGTCCTACTAATTAGCATCGTCGTTACAGTGATGTACTTAGCCGTTACACGTTTGCCTATGTACTATTCTCTTTTATATACTTCTATATGTATAGCTACAATATATAATATTTTCATGTTGAAAAATCGTATACATTAGTGTTGCGTCGCAGGACCATTGCTTCGTTTCTGTTCTGTATCCCGTTCGTACTCTTCTCTCATTTCTATCATTTCACTAATACGCTCTTTTTAACGTTGTCTTTTCGTTTTTTTTTTTTTTTTTTTTTTTTTTTTTTTTACCGGCTACGATGAGCCGCGATAGGGTCGCTGAGAGGGGAAAGGGTGGCGTCAATGCATAGAAGCGTTCACGGCGTTCACGCTTGATTATCGAACAACAGCATCCAACAAAATGAAAAAGAGAAAGAGGGGAACAGGAAAAAGTAGAAGTAGAAGTAGTAGTAGTAGAAGAAGAAGACGAAGGAAGGGAATGAACAGTAAAAAGGAGAAAGAGACCAAAGTAGAGTAGTTTCCACGGTTCACAGTTGCTTTTTCCTTTTCACGGATGTCGTGCTATCTTCGTGTTTTTAGGGCAAACTTCCTTAGCGTTAACTGTACGTTAAAATCGTTAATCCTTGATTGGTAAACCAGAGTTCTTCGCCGATCCGTCGCTGTTACACGAGCGTTCATTCTTCCATCATTGCGCGTCGCGGTAAGAACGTGAACGCTTCTCGCTTGGAGAATATCTATTACATAACGTTAATAGCTTAATATCGATTTTTTTTTTTTTTAGTTCGTATTACCCGCCCGTTAGAGGCGAGCCTCGGATCACAGATAGTGAGGTGATCGGATTGCGCGAGCATTTTCACGATACATCATCTTACACATATGCGTCTCTAGATCGTATTGATTCTCGTAATTGTCTGTTTTGCGTTTCTTCTTGCGATTCCTCTAAGTATTTCAAGGCGACAGCTCCTGAAAGCAAACAGCACCGGCCGTGTACGCGAGCGTGATATCACAGTCGCTCGAAGAAAAGGACGAACGTTTCCATTTCGTTAATCGACTCTTCCCGTTGACCATTGTCTCGTTCGGTTCTTTGAACGATAAAGTACGTTCGAATGCGCGAATCGACGGCGGAATTCCTGTCGATTCGTTTATCTAGAAGTAACCATTTCCCGGTGACTGTTCATGCACGCGTACAGTGGAAAGAAAACTTGGTCGGAACGCAATTCTTACGTCTCTGTCCCAGTTCATGGTAGATAGTTGTCATCGTAATGGTGACACACGAGTTGTACAGATACGAAAGTATACAATACATATTTTTATACACACGTACACGTATACACAATACATATGTACCTACGTACGTACGACCAACTAAGGGTAGACAGGCGCAATCGTATATATCAAGTGTCGAATCCAGTTGAATCGGGTTTTTCGCGCGACGTTCTCGAAAGCTATGTTTTCCGTTCGTCCAGAAAAAGTGCAATACCAATAAAATTAGCCTTCGGTGTTCCGGTCCCCTGCGCTCTGACAACTCTTCTATTCTCCGCGTATATCCCAATGGCGTTTGATACTAGAGCGATTAATGTTCCCGCAGCGCTCGTGTTTTATCTCGTAAATTTTTTTTTTTTTTTTTTTTTTTTTTTTTTTTTTTTTTTTTTATTTTTAAATTGACCGGTTCGAGCTTCGATATTCTGTTGTTAAGGCAAGTCAGAGAGGCGGGTCGGATATTCTGGATTCGACGCTGCGTGTGTCGGGTGATGAAATTAACAGAAACAGAAAAAGGCATAGTAGACGAGAACGAATTTTTAATTGAGACTTCGTGCTGAATCGTCGGTTTACAAAAAGAAAGAAAAAATTGGAACCAACCTCGGTTTCTCTGTTCGCTCGTGGGGGGTACAATCATGCAGACAATTTTTCAACGTAACAAGGGATACGATACTCGCTTCTCGCGACGAGGACACCAAACCGATCAGGAATTACGTGATTGCGTTTAAATCAGTTCGAGAGAATGCTCCGATGCTCGTTAACGTAACGAATCGGTAATCTTTACCAGTTTTCGCAGAAAGAAGAACGAACACGGTGTCCTCGCGTCGAAACGCAGGGGAACAAATCAGCACGCAAATCACCGGTGAACGTGACGACAGTTGCAAAAGTATAAGTCGAAGCTAAAGTTAAACCTCGGAACTTAAATCATAATCGAACGTAGGAAACATTCGCTAGCATTTACACGATACACCCGTGCTGGGATTAGATTTAAAAAAGATTGCCGAAAATCACTGAAGCTGCCTGCGACAAAGTACAAGTTTCCTTGACGTTAAATACCTCCCGTCGAGAATTTGAAAAGATAACGTTAAAACGTTAGAAAAATATATACATATACACATATGTATGTAAATATATATATATATATATATATTTATATTTGTATATATGTCACGTTCCTTTAAAATCTCTGCCCAGCAATCAAAATTACGCTACGTGAGAACGTATATACTATATATGTATATATATAATATAAAAGGATACATAATAACACGGTGTCAAGGATCGTTGCAAATCAATGCCAAGTGTTTAAAATAAAACGGTGAGAAAAACTCGAAGAAAACATGAGGGAGAAGAAAGAATAAAAGTATCTGTATAAGCTAAATCTATCGATCTGTGTAACATAGCGTATGTAAAAGTAAAAACTATTTGATTCGTGTACGTTCTCTCCCTCTCTCTCCTTAGCTAGGCGTCGGTACGCCGTCATATTGTCGTAAGTGAAGCGTACCTACTTCGTTCTCAGGAGCATATTAGCCTACGGATTTTTATCGTTTGCCTTTCCACACTTTCTCTCTCATTCATTCACTCTCTCTCTCTCTCTCTCTCTCTCTCTCTCTCGTGCTTCCCATCCCTTTATCCCTCTTTGTTTTTCGCTCATAAATCCGTCGTAGGTACGCAAATTTGTACACTAGTGCACGGTCACTCGATAAGGCAAGATCAAGCATCAAGATCAAAGGACAGGCAAAGAAGACGCGAATGCAATTACAAAATTCCGTTCAATTCCATTAGCGTTAAATCGATTCACCGAATAGAGGACTCGAAGATTCTCGGGCGAACTCTGCCACCAATATGGCCGACCGAAGAAAGTACCGGAAACGCGGGTTCTCCTATACAAGTGAGTTTTCGCGTCTTCTTGTGCTTGTCCTTCTCCCTTGACAACGAAATGGGAAAAATGTTCGAAAACCGGAAACTAACATTATTATTTATCGTAGGAACACCAACGAACATTATCTCCTTGTGTGTGGCTCGGAGGTGCGCGAATATCGCGTATATATATATATATATATGTGAGTGTCGACGATAGCGTGTGCGTGTCGGTGGAAGTGGCCTGTGACGGTATATAGGTGTGTACAGTGGATTTTTCTTGTATGCTGACGACGGTATACCTTTGTGTCTGCTCGTCCCCTAACATACACACTCTGCTCTGTTTCGTCCGTAGGTATTTTCCTTCGTTGCATCTCTTTCTTTATTAGATTCGTTGCCATACTAGCTCGCACATTCCAAAAGTAATATTTAGACGCGCGGCCGTTTCTCATTTTCTCGGTCGGAATCAGAGTCCGCTGAATCGTGGAGTGGCGGAAATTCCGGCACCGCCTCGCGTTGTTGCATCCATCCCGTCGCGCCTGGCCCCCCAGCCAATGCCTTGCCCTGCGTCATTTTGTTCGAATTTTTTGTGTTTTTTTTTCTTTCTATTCTCAATTGATTTTTAAGCCCTCTGTCTTTATCCCCGGCAGGTGGCGAGAAAATAGCGTGTCATTGGTCACTAAAGCCTCGCCTTCGTTTTCAGAAACTTTTTTTACGCACTTTATTGTCACAGACAGATCTTTTTCCCGTTTCGAATCGCGCGACGAATCTAAAGAAAGCGCGGGCTATTTGGATTGGCTGCTCGTACCAGGACGGCGACTTTCTTGTATCGTCGGCTTCTCCCGCTTTTACGAACGAAATCGTCGTCCGACTTCCTTGAAGAAGCGCGCCGATTCCCGTTACGAGCATGAAAGGATTTCATCGCTAAGTGATTCTATCTAGGTGACGGATTCTAGACGAGAACGTTCGGATACAGGGGGTAAAACAAGAAGCTAAGTTAGATTAAAAATCCTTTCATTCTAATCTGCCAATGCAACGAACCGGCGCCTATTCTCTACTATCTATGCGAACAAATTTAGAACTCTGCACAACGAACTAAATAATGAAGTTTCTGTCGCATCCGTTCTCTTTCATGCTTCGTCTCTTTCTCTCGCTCTCTCTCCCTCGTTCTTTCACCTCTTATCTACATATTCACCCAGAAAACCCCAGCCAATCGACCCGCAACAAAAGGAAACAAAATGAAAATAAAAAAAAAAAACATAAAAATAACAGATAATGATAAACGCACACACGTACTACCGTGTAAAACCAGTATACACGTGTCAACTTAAATTCTACGTGCAGCCATGCATGCCACGAAGAGATGTCTTTCGAGGATTTATCCGTCCATAAAGAACTCTCCGACCTGCATAATTCCTCTATGCATCGCGAGTCTGTGTTACGAACGTTTAGGTATGTATGTCGTGTCGGTTTATGTTAGGTATGTTGCGGTGTATTGCGAAACTAGCTGTAGAAAATACCCTAAGATTAAGTATCGATAGCCATACGAGAGCAACAGGAAACCACACGGTGCGTTCCTCGAGAATGTATTTGCATAGCACCGACAGTCTATAGACTAGGATATCGAATGCCTGCTCGAGTACGTGGTACTATGTACAACAAAGAAGTATGGTCTCTTCTGTGTCTTTAGAATCATTCGATCTAAAGATACCATTGTTCTAAAAGTCTCATCGCAACTTTCGTATCACGATACGTATCCAATGCGTTTCCTCCAATTTCTAATCTCTCAATGAAAGCCCTAACAACAAGCTATCTACTAGTTTTCCGGCCACAGAAAGGCCCCTTATCGAAAACCATATTGCACACTCGACGAGATCTTCTCCTAGGGATGAGGAGCTCGAAGACGAGAACGTTCCGCGTAATCACAAGTCCGAACATTGAACGTACACGAGTCTCGAGAAATTCGACATTTTTCAAAAATACTTCACGCAGTTCGGCACTACATGGCAACGGTTCTCGCCTCCGAGACAAACGGTTTAAAACGACACGATGCGCGAGAAAGTCTCGAAATCCAGGTTCCAAGTGAAACAGAACACCTATATACAAGTGTGTATTCCACTAACGATATAAGGTAATCAGTTCTTGCGTGACAGAATGTCAAAAAGACAGGCTCGCGCGTTCTCGCGAAATTCGGAGACCTTCTTCCTCGTCTGAGAGAACGAGACCTGTGCTTGTTGCAACGGAGAGTATCCTTGCCGGCTCCTCGACTTCTAATCGCAACTCTGTCGTTTGCGATTTTATCTCTTGGATATTCTCTCATAGTCCCGCGAAAGGTGCGTCGACACACAACGACAGATCTACTCATGTGATGTAGATTTCTGCACCATGAACACATATAAACAGAAGAAAGTGCAAAAGGCCGTGAGGTCAATGTTCACGCACCGCAGCAGACCTCACGTATGTCCTTTTATTAACTTTCCAGATCTCGTGATTTCCGTCTCTCTTTCCACGCTTTCATTCCGTGTCCTTTACTTACTCTCGTTCTTTCAATGCCACTTTTTAATCGCATATGTTTGCGTGGAGTCTGATTCGATGTCTCTCTCACTCTCAGTCGCCCTCTAAGAATTTCGTTTCATCTGCACCAAGAGAAAAACTCGAGTGAATTCAAACGAGGCGACACGATTCAGCATCAGCATTCGAAAACAAAGAGCCGATCACCGATTATTCCTGCTTGTCGCGTGTCTTGAACGCTGCTTACAAGGGATAAAATGCATAAACGAGATCGAGCGAACGAACGTGGGACAACGAAAATTTTTCGTGAAACCAATTTAGAAGCAAAAGTGTAAGGTATACATGTACACATGTACGGTCGCGGGTATTCGAATCTCGGATTGATCAGCGTATCGCAGTTGCGCAAAGATGGACGGTTCGTCGATGCAACCGCGTTCCAGTCGAATCGTTAGGTGATGGAGAGTAGAAGAGACCAAGGAACAGACGACCAATCGTAACGGTATTTATACAGGTGCCAGACCGTGCGAACTGTGCTTGTAACGTTTTGGCCGTAAGTGCGAACTTTTCTCTTTGCCAAAAGAAAGGTAACAAAAACAACAACAACAGAAAAAATAGGAAGGATTAAGCCCGCGAGAAATTCTTTCAGTATCGAGCGAAAACAAAAGAAAAACACGGTTGGAAATCGTGCAAGCACGCGTTAGACACTCCGCACCAAAATTGTCTGTTGCAACAAACACAGTTCTTTGCTTCTCGTTTATGTTAGACTCGGGGTACCAACCAGCAGCGATTAGAACGGAATTAAAATTACGAAATGAAGAAAAAAAAGAAGAAGATAGAGAGTGACAAGAGAATAGTGAACGGGAGAAAAACGGATTATTGTCGGTCGAACGGGCGCGTGTTAAGTCGACCGACGGTACAAGAAGGGATCTTGGTGCTCGTATAATTGTGTGCAAGCGATTTTGTTGTACTTTTGTTATATATATATGCGATTACGGAAACGTTAGTGCCAGCTGCAGCAGCAAGAGCGTTCGTCGTTTCTACCAGGTCTCCTCGTGTTCGCTAATCCGACACGTCGAAGCGGAAATCGGGGACTCTGTTAGCCCCGGTCGTCGAAATTCTTGACACAACGGTGATATTGGAAGAAGAACTCTATACAGCCGAGAGCGCAGCAAATTCGTGTGTTGTTCGCAATCGTTTGCTCGCGTATTGGAGACGATTCGGGACGAAATGCACGAGGAGCAGAAGTAGCGCGAGGCTTCTCTCGACCCGAGGAAATTCTTCGACGATCACGGTAACGAGAAAGAAGTGAAGAATAGGCGAGTTTCGATGTAGCCGAACGGAACGAAGCCGGAAAACGAAATGAGGATCGGGGTGGAGGTTTGAAAACGCGGCAACCTAGGTGGGAGCATGCATTCTAGTCGCTTCATTTCGACTGGGGTTTTCTCACCCCCCTGTGGGGGGAGGACTGGCAACCATGGACGAACCGGATGAACCGCGAAATTAATTTTCTTATCAACTTCTGTTGGTTTCCCTAGCCGATCATCCGGTTTCCAGGAAACGCAACGATAATGAAGAAACCAGAGAGGATCGCAAATAGAGAAAGACCGGAAAGAATGGCTCGAGATGCGAATTACTCGCAACGCGTTGCATATCAATTGTTCTTCGTCGAGACAGAAACTAAAGAGAATAATTACAGACGGAGTTAAAAAAAAATAGGATTTTAATTCGATCTGCGGATGGCATGTGGCGTATAAAATAAAACGTATCGATAACCGGTCGATAATGAATCGGGAATACACCTACGAACCTTGGAATCAATCTAGCATCCGTTCCGCGTGTCTGTCCGCGAATTTAATCCAACGTCGCTCTGTATACAACTTGACACCGACGAAATTGCATGTCAGAAAGATTTATCGAATTCGGGGAATCGGGGACCGCGCACGACACCGTTTTGTTCCGCGCTCTAACCAATATCATTCTCCAGGAATGAGGCCAAACTATCTGGGAACGTATTAATTCTTAACCGACGACGAAGCGTCCAAACGAGAACGGGTGGGGGATAAAAAAAGAAAAAAGAACAAAATCACCGTGTTTTTGGTTGCGTGTCGGATACACGGAAATTGGATCTCCGAAGATACAGTTCCGTTGCGTTTCATCGGTCGAGTAGAGGCAGCTCGTTAGGAGCACGGCCGCGCAACTACCAGAGTCCATTAATATGTGAGAGAGCAACCCTGCCTAAAAAGTGACTTAGCAACTCCAATGCATACTAAGCAACCCTTATGATACCGGCTGCTGCTGGCTCTGTGTGCACAAACCTGACGCTTCTCTCCGCTTCTAACCCACCGCCCCCCGCCCCCTTCTAAGCCCGTCTTTACGAGCCAGCAACAGCAACAGCGTATCCAACCCAGCCCTAGATACACGTATATTCCAACACAACACGCATCTACTCGCACCTAAAGACACGATCGCGTGTCCTTCAGAAAGCACACGCAGCAACACTCGCACGTGCGCCCTGCTCTTATACGGGGCGTTCTCCGATTTACTATGGTTGCTTCCGGAACTTCTCCGTTTCACCGTACAGACTCCTCTCGATTATCGTCCCAAACTCGGGTCCGAGTCAGGAGAATAATCTTATTGGGAGAAATGCTTCAGACCCTCGTAAATTCGTTTTCTGTCCGAAGCCTCGGCAACAAAAGCGGTGGGACAACAAAGTACGCGCTTGACAAGTTCCACGGCCTCCCCCTCCCAGTGGTGGGGATAACGCCTGGACAATAATCGTGTAGAACGAGCCAGACGATAATCGAGAAGAGTCTGTATCTATATTTCCTTGAGAGTCGGCGACTCGTAGATATATTTATGTAATATTTAAACTTCGAAATCAGCCTGTATAGGAGCGCGGGCGCAAATTCAACGTTACACATGCTCCATACACCTTCACCGTTCGGCAATCGTTCGGTTTCTTTCTGATACATATTCTCTCTCTTTCGCTCCATCAACCAAACGTCCAGTCTCGCAAGATGTGTGAATATGCGGTGAGATGCGCATGCATTTATGGTGATGAGAACTGGCTTGAAAATGGATGGAAATCTAGAGCTGCGACAGAGTTCTTGTACCGCGTGTAATCAAGAGTTACTTGTTTTTTTTTTCTTTTGTATGATTTTCGATCGCGAGCTGGAAAGCCCGATATCATTTTCCATTCATCCGAGCCAAAAATGGTACCTGGAACTCGGTGGGTGGGAGTTGTAAGCGTTATCGGGATAATTCAGCACATGCTCGGATAATACAAGGGGATGTCGAAGAAAGCGAGGCAATTGACGCTGACTACGGGGAAAATCTATTTACGCGGAGAGAGAAGCTTTAACAATTACCTGGTGCATAGGATCGTAGCCCATCGAGCCGTCGTTGTACGGTTGCGAGCCGTAGTCGCTACCATTTATGCCCATCCCGTATCCGGCCATGTCTTGCGGGCCACCGGGAGGCGCCGGCGACATCATCGGCGTTGGGGTGCCTTGGCTCGCGCCACCCATACTGTACGGCGACGCTCCTGCAAAAGCTGCTGTAGAAACAATCGCGGTGCATACAAAATTCGAGGGTGCGTCTTTTAAGTTCTTCCGCCTGACCGATACATTTCGTCTATCTAAAAGCTTGAGCTCGGTTTCACATTGGTCCTACCGTAACCAGTGGCGCGGGTCGATTCTCACGAATCCTCACGAATCCTCTCACGAATCGTCTCACGAATCCTCTCACGAATCTTGACGAATCCTCACGAATCGTGTCGCGAACAGACTATTATCCAATGAATGATCGCCGGAGGCGACGGATCGAACGTTCGAAAACTTTGAATGGTGTTGGATGAACGCCACTGATTAACTACTAGACTGGTAAATGTATCGTCACATCGAGTCTGTTGTTTCGACAAGACATAGATCGATCGTTAGTTCTTCATGTACGTGTGAAAACGAATGGCCTTTTCCTTTTTGCGAAAACATTACGATTCGACGTTATCGATGTACAGAGAAATTTGTGGTCGCAGTAAAGACGATTAACAGCCGCCCCCCCCCCAGCGTGGTGGTAACGCAAACAATATTTTTAGATCGAAACGCGAAAACAACGTCTGCGCTAATCCAACGGGGCAAAGAAATGCCGGCGGTCCCGCAGTCCTGGCGCCAGCAGTATCGCTGGAATTCCGTTTCTTTAATTACGAGAGGACTGCGGCCCGTTCACCGGAAACGTGGCTGAGGAAAGACAAACACGCGAACAGCGTCGAAAGAAACGCGAGAACGCCTTGGCATCTTTCGTCACACCCTTCCCAGCACCCTCGTCGTATTCTCCTCTCATCTTTCGTTCCCTCTTTCTTCGTATAATTGGTAAGTTAAAAATATCTCGCCGTGCTCTCTAAAATAAAGAGACGCCTCGGGTAGTTAAGAGAAGTTGCGCGTAATTGCGACCAGCAAGTCCTGCGAATGCCTGGAATTTCTCCGAGAAAACCACCCAGCATTTTTCTCCTAATTTCCGCGAGAATGCGCCGAGGTAAATATGTACAGACGAACGAACAGAATATGACGCGCGTTGTCGAAACCGTACGTTCACGACTGGACAGAAGAACGAAAAGAAAAAAAGAAAAAAAAAACAATACTTTCTAAAGCGGACTGAAATTGTTCGAGGATTTTCTATGTTTTTTCGCGGAAAAACCAGCCACGAATCCCGATCGATGGTCCGTCGTTTTATTTCTGGAAGATTTATCGGTCGGCCGCGATAAACGCGTTGTTCGTACGGCGGAGCCGAACAATGAGCGGTAACTCAGTCGCGTAATGATTTACAGTAATGAGAAACCACCACGCAACGCAATTTCTTCTCCTTCCTAATTTCGATGCATAAACGATCAAGTACGGCCGACGGCGGCAGAAAAGGTGGCGGGAACTAAATTACACGTTCTTTCCTCAACAACACCCCCGTGAATATCGACTTTCGCGTTCGAATGTCGTGTCTTTTTAGCCGTTCGGATTCGATCAAATGGTTTTAATCGTTACTGTTTCTAGTTATCGAAACGAACTCATCAAGGAACACCCGTCGCTCATTTGGCGAAGGACGGAACTTACCAGCTGCCTTTTTGGCTGCGTACAAGTTCGCCTCCTCCTGTGCTTTACCTATGTTTTTCTTGTAGCGTATCCTCTTGTTGCCGAACCAATTGGAAACCTAAGGCATAAAATTTAAGCGTTCGAAATAATAAAACGATCTGCTTTGTTTTTGGCGATACTAAAAAATTCCATTACGCGAACTATTTTACGGTAGGTTATTTAAAATGCCCGCTAGCAATGTCGTTAATTCTCACGAATGAATTTCGACGAACGTGTGATCTAGTTATCGTGCAAAGATAGTTTTTTTTTTTCGTCTTACCTGACTCACGGTGATACCACATTTTCGCGCGAGCTCTTCCTTGGCCTCTTCGCTCGGGTAAGGATTACTGAGGTGCGAATAAAAGTATTCGTTCAGGATTTCGGAGGCCTGCTTGCTAAAGTTTCGTCTTTTACGCCTGCAACCAAAGAATTTCCGCCCCTTTTTACGGCCGAGTACCAATCGAATCTCGACTCTTTCTCGAGTCAACTCGAGAAAATGAAAGAGCAACTAACGTTGAACACTTTCACGCTACGGATACACACCTCGCGTCGAGGAATCGACTCCTAAGGATCATGACTGCCTCGCAGGTGGACTGTTTGAGCTGCATCTGGATGCTCGAGAACTTCTTGTGAATGATCTGAACCATCCTTTCGATCTCCTTCGGCGTGATCGGCCTTGTACGACTCTGTTCCCTCAGTAAATTCATTACGTGGGTAGTGAACTCGTTACACGCCTGAAATGAAACGGAAATACACTTTTCTATAGTCATCCCAAATGTCCTCCGTTTCTGACCCACAACCCCCCTTCAACGCAAAGGATACCAAGCATCCTCCCTTCACGATTTTGCATCGAGCAAGTTATGGCGAGCAATCGTGAAACGGGAAACGTATTCGACAGCGCGTATTCCGAGTTCGAAGATTTCAAGCGAAAGCTTTCGGCAAGAAAGCCGTCGAAGCAGGCCGTCGAGAAAGATCGCTCGAAAAGTAACAACTCAAGATGTTCTCCGATCTGTTTCGATCTTAAAATCGACGGGGGGTTTCGAAGATGCTGATCATTGGTGTTTTCGGGCTGTCACGAAACCGTGGAAGGAACGACGATTACGGGGGATGGGGTGGAAACCCGAAATAAAAGGTAAGAAGGGAAAGGGCGACGATATAGGGAAAAAAAACGAGACGAAAGACGCGTACGTATAATGCATTATTCCCGGTGGCTGCTCGGTTTAAGGGAAAAAGGACTTTGCTCGATATCAGTATTCGAGGCGAGCACGCTACCTTCCGGAGGGAGCGAAGAAGGGACGACGAGAGTGCACAAGAGAAACGGGGTGGTGAGGGTGGGGCTGGGTGAGGGTGGATTTTCCTGAGGGAAGGCGTTAGAAGGAAGAGAGAGGTCGGTAGGGGAGAGGTCGGACAGGGTGGCTCGCAATTTCGAAATGGATTCCACTCTACCGCCATACCCCGCTACTATCCTCCTCTTTCTTCTATCCATCCCGTTTCTCTTCGTTCTCTTCTTCCATTCTGTTCTCCTCTCTTTGCACGAGAGCGTGCCCCACCGGCTTGGTGGGGTGGATCAGCTTCATTCCTGGCTTCCTTGCCGCTAGCCAGGCCGAAGGGCTGGAGACGATCTCGAGTAGGTGGATTGGATGGAAAACCCATAGAGAATTATGTCCCCCCTGCGTCGTTGTTTTCTCCAATTTTTAAATTATCGCCGAAACAAAAACGATACTTCGCCGGGCTGATGATACGCGAGACACCGTTGTGTTCCTTACCGCTATCGAGAAGACATCGAGAAAAAAAAGACGAACGTAATCTCCACCGGCGGCAAAGAAAATTCAGCCCGCAATTTTGATAAAACCAATGCACCGTGGAACGGACGCACCGTCGAAGCAATAAGTTTTCGGATTTGCAGGTCGATCGATCGCGAGCCAACGATATTAAACATTGATTCCTCGGGATAGTCGCGTCTCGAACGAAAACATGACGTACGGTTGGAAAAGAAAAACTCGTGACACGAGTCAGCGTTAAAAATGATTTATAAAACGCGCTGCTATCTCTTAGAGGATAGAACGAATCGACGAAAAAGTCTTATAAATCAGACGGAAATTCGGGAGACGAACGTTGTCGTGAATCGCGGGTGTAATCGTAAGGTCTGACGATTCGACGGTTCTTCCTTCCATTTTCCGTCGATGCCTCGTCCATCGGAACTATAAAGCCAACAAGTGTCACACAACGGTCGTTAATCCGCCGTCTCTGCGCGATACAAGTTTTCTCACGGCGCGGCGCCTCTAATTTTACTGCGGTTCGGTCTATTAATACTGGCGCACGTATATCGAGGATATAGCACCGAGAGGCTTCTGGCTCGCGAGCGTTATCGAAATTCCAACCTGCACGCTACTAAATATACCTGGCCGCGGCGGCTACGTTTGCCACGGATATTCCGCGGTTATTCCGCGGTTACCACAATAAGCGACACCCTCCTCTCTTACGCGATCGCACAGTGACTGTTAACGACCATTTCCCCAAACGAGTCACCATCGATCGCCTCTATCCTAGATCTTACAATGGAAGGCACGAAAGTGTCCCCTTCCGATTTTGATGAAACTTCGTATGTCTGTTAAGCAGTTGAAAGTAAGGGATACGTATTTTTTTTTATCGGCTGAGATGCGACTTTAATGGGTGAAACCACCCCTCGAAGTTTCGACCCGAAAGTACTATCTCGAAAACCAGAGGAGATACATGAAACTTCTAATGGACGAGAATTTTTATGTAGAATAATATGGTGCTAAGAAATTGTCCTGCATTTGCTTACAACACAAAAAATTTCAGATCGAAACTTTGAGGAGTGGTTTCACCCCCTTAAAATCGTGTCTCAACAGATAAAAGGTGACGCTGCGAGTTGACTCGAGACCGAACGGATGCTCGGCCGGCCGAGCCGGTTAAAATCTGGACTGAAAATCGGACAAAATAAAGGCGGGCGTATGTACCAGTAAAATTCATGCCAGGCGATGTTTGCTGTCGGTGATCACGCGATCTCGTAAAACTCGGTGCGGTTCTATTCTCGTACTTGTCACGCCATTTTGCATAGCCGGGCAGACGTTCACCCTAATGCAGTGAGTCGACCGCCACGCGAGTTTGAATAGTAAATTTCGGTTATGATAAAACTTTTGGCCGCGACGATATCAACCGTAATATCGTTACTTTTAAGCGCGGCAATATATTCAACCGCGGGACCCGAAACACTGTATGTATTACCCCACGCTCGCCAAAACTCGGCAACTGCCTCCAACAACGTCCAGAACGTTGTTCATTTAAATAACAATCGCGCTCGCGATACGAATAGTAGATTCGAATGAAAAAAATGGCTTTCGCGGGGACAAAAACTTTCCAGTCTGACCCGTTTCGAAGCGTTCTAAAAATAAGAGAAAAGAACAGTGAATCCAGTTCGCGATCAAAGGATAAAAACGAAATGTTTTTTAAAAAAAAATGGGAGAGACAAAGGGAGGGAGAAAGCAAAGGGGAGGAAATGAAACGTCGTATTTCGATACTCTTTAGATACTCCGACACGAGGAGAAAAGAACGGGGTGCAAATTTGTTGATGGCCAGGTTTATCGATAGGGCGTCAACTACCCCTGGTAACTGCAGTTTCAACGGCGCGGCGCGTGTGCACGCGAACGCATACATCTCGGCACGAGCTGACTCCATATTGTTGCGCCTACAAAGAATTCCGCACGCATCCGTGTACACACCGGTGGACCTCAAAGCAAGGGTGTGCGTATTCCACTGCGGGGAAACATCAAGACCGCTGACACACGGTGAAATATGGGGTCGAAACGGGTGTGGCAATTAAACCAAGCTCCCAACCCCCACCCCGTCAACCCTTCCGTCCTCGTGACTCGTGTGCGCGAGTGATTTGGTATTTATGTACGCGCGAATGCACGAGTCGGTACGGATGCCGAGCCACGGTTATTTTCAAAGTATGCAAAAGAGAGAAAACACGAAGAGACGTTAAAAAGAATTATGCTTTTATCGTTGATAAGTGAGTGGTAGCAAGCCGGAGGGATCATGCGCGCTACACACGCCGCCGTTTTGTTTCAATCGCCTGAATATTAATGAGCAGGAATTGAATATGCGTTTCGGGCAGCCCACCGGTGGCGTCGCCGAACACCAGTGAATCTCAACAATGAAAATAACGATACGGGAAAATGCAAAATAGCCCACGATGAAACAGCCATATCGTATTCGTTGATCGATGCGACCTATACAGTCCTATATGGGACACGCTTTCAACGATCCGGCAAAAGAGGTTCTCGAAATAAAGCTTTAAAAAGTTGTCCGTCGAATGGAACGCGGCGTTCCACGGAGTCAGCGCCGCGAAAGGCGTGGTGACCGGGGTAGTATTCAGGATTTCGTTGAATTCCTACGGCAAACACAATAGCCCGCGGGGAGTTTCCTCGCGTTAAAGAGATCCGCAGCTCGCGATACAGCCGCCTGGCTTGCTCGACACGCGAGATTTTACTTAGCGCGAGCAAGTCGGTTCATTAGCACGCAAATCGTCCAACAGAGACGGGGCTCGATTCTCTACCGTAGTACGCCTAACTGGTCTCTTATCGGACTGCTCGAGGGTAGGAAAAAAATTCAACGGAAAAACTGCACACGAACCGTCCCCCAACCCCCTTCGATTCGATTAAATCCAGCGATTCGAGAACGTTTCCCGTTTCACCCGAATATCTGACAGTCTGGGAGGCATCGCGTTTCCCCGGATAAACGAGAAGACATCCCCTCGTCACGAACCTGTTCGTATTTCTCCAATTCCTGATGGTAGATCTGCCTAATTTGAGCAAGCTTGGCTCTGTAGTCCGAATGTTCGATAGCGTTGTCGGGTTGTCCAGGTGGTCCAGCCGCTGCAGCCGCCGAGGCCGATGCCGCTGCTCCCGCTCCGCCACCCTTTTCCGGCCCGGCAACACCCTCCGCGATCAACATGTTGTCCAATCGCATTAGCTGCGGATCGGGCGGTTCCTCTTCCTGAGTGTTCCTTAACGACAGCACTGTAACAGAACAAGAAATTTATATTTCAGTAACCTTTCTGATTACCGCCAAGCTGATTCGTAAACGGACCAAAGAATTACATAGACATTCTACGATCGTGAAATCGTCGGAGTCACACCTCGTGAAAAATCGAGTTAACAAACGGGGACGATTAAGTTTATTATCGTGACGATTTTTCTCGACGAGTACGGAAGAACGATGGACGTGGAAACGGTGCGTTACCACGGGAATCGAGAGGGGAAAGAAAATGGGAGAGGGAGAGGGGTGGCTTGAGAAAGTCGCGCGTTTACCGATCGTAAAAGAATCAATTTTACTTCGGCGTTCCCCCCTCCCCTCGGATCATCATCCCCTACCATCATCCAGACCCTTTCGTTCTCTTTGTTTTAAGGGCCGATGCACGCAGTGCTTTGGAACGGGGTGGTTTTCCACGGTGTAACAGTGGTTTTATTGTACTTTTACGGCGCATGATGGAGCTGGACGAGCCATAAAACCACCGAGAGCGAGGGACTCGGTGTCTCTTCTCTTCTCTTTCCTGCCCTGTGCCCCCGTGGCCTCTGTGACAGTTCTTCTAGAAAGATGCAACCCTGTCTTCGACAGTTTTCGCCCTCTTGACGTATAAAACCAACACGTGCACGCGCGAATAAGCACGCCTGGGGGATGAACGACAGCGCGGGAAACTCGTACAAACTGCCGTGAGATATACTTCCTGAGGGATCACCGGTTATTCTTCCGGTGATTTTAAAGAACGACCAAAGAGTTATTGGTTTGTCGACCGGAGAAAGTTGAGTGGAATCGACACCGAGACGAAAAGATAACCTTTCCATGGGGAGATGCGAAATGAAATAGTAACTGCTTTAAAGGACCGTGAGACTGCGATCTGTTAAATTAATATGAAATGACAATTAAAATTCTTGTAAAATTATATCGCGATACTTTGTTAAATAGCCGTCATATTGCGTTTTAACTGGTACGCGTCACACAGCTGAGATTCGAGCGTTGAATTAATTAGGCTTATTCGAGGGTTATTCGAGCCGTAATTTAAATTCGTTAGGACTTTTTCCGCTCCGCTCTATGGTTCCTCACCCCCGGAAAAAAAGTCTCCAGAGACGAAAAGTTGAGCGAAGAAGGGGGTAAAAGTTCGCCGGGAGTCGTGGGAGCGTGAAACGAATGCGCGGAACTAATGCATTTATACGAAGTGTAACAATTAGGACCGCAGCGTTGGCGAAGAGGTTGGAGTTTCAGATTCCCCTTGGGACTCGGCTGGAAGGGTGAAGACACAAAGTCGATCACTGGGGAACCATTTCTTTGAGAAAGACGTTACGTTACGCTACGCGCTAACTCTGTCAGAGGCCCCGTGCTCGTTAATGAATCTTTCCTCCGCGCTGGGGAATCGTCTTGAAAAATCTGATTAACAATTCTCCTACTTAAATTGCGGCAACTTTTCGGAACCCTTATTTTGCAGTGTACAAATCCGAAGATAGGAAAATCAGATAAGTGATTCCAAACAAACTAAAAAAGACGAAAGAAATACGCGAGGTTCTATTTCGTAAAAAAACAACGATATAATAGAAGGGTCAAGGAGGCATCGTTAAAACTTCGATAGCGCGACGGTGGATAATTAAAAATAAAAAAGCTTCATTCGCGTCGTTGAGCCGCGAAGCGGCGGAATAAAACGTACGTTTACGGCGATGCCCGTCCGAAAGAAGTTGTGCCATTGAAAGTTAAAGGCCCGTGAACCATCGGCGGTGCTTTCGTTTATTCGTTAAGGGGATCTCGCGAAACGGCGCAGTTTGCAGAGGAGAAAGAGTCGTGCCACAAATCGGAGGCTCGTGACACCGTTCGTCGATTTCGTCCCGCGAGGAGCTCCCGAATCGGCGGTGGAATCGCGCGACACGAACGCGTGCTTCGCGACGGCATGCGAAATTAAGCGCTCGAGCAAAATTATTTTCGGGTATCGAGCGGAAGAAAGTAATCGGGGGCGGCTTACGGGCAATAATCTGGCCATTACGGGGTGTAAGGGGAGGGCTCTTGGTACCGTGTCGCCGAGGCACAGGGACTGGCGGCAACCTCCTGCGGGGGTTCTTACAAGCACGTAAACTCAGTTTTACTAGCAGTTAACATTTTACGACTCAGACGGTCTGCCGGCTCTGTAAACTCTGTCTCACTCCCTGTCGGTGAAGCGCGAACGGCTACGCGCGCACTCCTTCCTGTCTCCATCTTTCTTGCTCTAGCTTCCTGTCGGTCGAGCCGCGCGCGTATTCGTCACAACACGAGCACGGCGTGGAAACACCGGCTATACCAGTGATGGGCAACCGAGCCTGTTCGGGCATGTTGCCCGCACAGGCTGGAACAACACGTATGTAACATTGAACTGTTTTTTATTGAAAAAATCTGACGAAAATACACAAGTTACAATAGTATTTGAATAAATTTCACAACAATTGCCTTAAATACTACTTATATATATATACGAGTTTACAATATGTTTGTAACAATATGTGCATAAATTCAGTAAAACAGCTTAAATATTATTCAGACATATAACAATAAAAATAATTTCCTCTTCTGTAACTTGTAAATCTTCCGTACGATGTTCAAAGCTTCATATGGAATAGTTTAGATAGATGTCGGACTCCTGTGGAAGGGTTGCGAAGCAGGACACATTACGAATCACGTGTCGTGATTCACGACATATTTGTGCGTGAAGAAAATGATAGATACGTGCTCTCATTCACAGATTTCACCCACCACTGCCATATGCCCGCATGCTGCACGTTGTTGCCCGCTAGTGAGTTTGGCGGGCGCTGAGTTGCCCATCACTGGGTTATACAAATGTACGCTCCGCAGCGACAACGTAACGCTCGTCGTTTTCGAGGGTCGTTAACGAGCATGCTACGTTAATACGACACCCCGTTGAAGATCGAGCTAATTGTCCATCTAATTCCCTGCTCCCAGCGTGTTACCGAGCACGGAAGACAAAATTTCGGTCATTTGGAAGAAACGCCTGGGCTGTTTTATGTCGCGACATGTGTTAATCCGGCGACAAGCAAGAGTGGTCGCTCGTGATAACGGAAAGTTAAACAACACGCGGTGCACGTAGATCGTGTGAAGTTTTTTGTGATCGCCCGGCAACGAAACAACACGTTCGAAAACTCGATGCACGCCCGGCACGATAAATTCGATTGACCAAACGAGTCAGATTGGAGCGGCCATGGCGAACGATCCTGAAATATGCAAGGGTTTCGTGCACAGGGGAGAAAGAAAGGGAAGGGTGCGAAGAGAAAATCGAAAATCCCCGGTCGAAACAACCCGTAGGATAATTTAGATTCGCGAAGCGGAGTCGAGTGGAGCGGAGGTATTACGGCAACGGCAGCGAGAGCGCCGGTAGAACGCCGCTGCTGGTGTGTATTGATCTAAACGGGAACCCGTGAAAGCAATTAAGATAAGGCACGGTAACAAAGGGTTGTCGGCTGCTACCCGCTTTTCACCGTAGGAAAACAGAAAGAGAGAAAGGGGAAATAGAAAGAGCCAGGAACCGGATGGAAGTAGATACGTGACGGAGGAAAACTGGAGGCCCAAATATCAACCCCGCCGTGCCAAAAACCATATCGTGCGCATTTTCCTCGTGACTGAAATCCCCAGTATACCTATTGGAACAAATATATTCAGACTCCTTCAATTACTTTCTGGCGTTATGTCTCCGTCAAACACGAGAGTGCATTGATTTTATTTATTTATTGCAGAAGACGATTTTTCAACGTCGACATTTGAATAGAATAAGTTAAACCGTAACGAATGGTGTCTGCAAAGATGAAAATCAATAACGATTAATCGATGCTTCCTAATTTACGTTGTGGCAAGAGAAACACGCAATGATCGCAAAGTGTATGAATTCAAACAGCGGAGGTAGCGTAATTACTACAACACTGCAGTCGCGGTACAAGCGTAATCGTTATTCGAGTAATGGTCCTACCGACCGCGGGGGCTAGATGACAAACGTGACGGGAAATACGATGCTTCGAAACATCGGTTTTCTGGTCCATCAAGATACAAAGAGTTTAACAATGTGATAATATTACGTTTCGTCCCCTAGGGTTGACTCCAGGTAGAATCGAATTCTGACCCAGTTCCATGATCCTCTCAAGCGGATCTTGGTCGCGTCTAAAGGAATTGATTCCCAAAATCCATTCAATTTTTTTTTCGTCTCTCTTTCACATGCTCCAGCTTTTCCAAAACTAACCCTAGTGCGCGTGGATCAGGTCCAGATGTAAGCCGAAGAGGACAGAAGAGGGTAGACGAGGAAGAAGAAAGGAAGGGAAGGAGGGCAAGCTGGCAGGCAGGCAGACAGCCGGAATGGCTGCTCTTTTAATTCGAGGGTGAACTCTGCCGGCAGGCCGGAGGGGCTCCAAGGGGGTGCGAAAGGGAAGCTAAAAGAAGACGGCTGAGCATTACCCCTGGGATCTGATATCGACACCGAGCCGTAAGAATATCCGGGCCTCTTCTGATTTACGAAAGAAATCGAGACGAGGTGTTCTGCATTGTTGATATCGTGTTTTGCTCCGTTACGAGCGCCGGTTCTACTCGAGTGTTCTCAGAAACGTAAGATCGTCGCGTGTCAGGCATTATCGTATCCTCGGAATGACGGGAAAAAATTAGATCCAGCGAAAGACGATCGTTTCTCTGGCCCCTGAGCCGTTTATCGCGTATTCTCGAGCGAAGAATTATTCTTCCCTTTATTTAAACGACCTTTGCATAAATGTATTAACTATAACAGTGTTCATTATCTAACAAACTTGCATGGAGGATATACACCAAGAATAAAGATCCGAGGAAAAGTAAATAAAAACGAATGGAAATGCATCGAACACACGGCACCTAGTCGAAACCAGTTTTTAAAAATTGCACACCGCTAGCTGTGTTGCGGCGAATGTTATCACGCTGCGCGATACGCAATCTTGAATTGCTCGACGTGAATGCAAAAACAAAAAAAAAAAAACAG